GAGGGGGGATGGGGCGGCGGCTAGGGTTCGAGCGCCCGGGCCGCCCGGGGGGAGGGGGGGGGGGCGACACGGGGCCCGCAACCGCAAGAAATCTAATGGTTCTGTAGATCTGGTTTGATGCATGGGAAAACCAAATCAATGTTCGTCTATTTTCACATGGTACTAGAGGCAAGACGTCACCATCTACCGCTTTCAACACCGTCCTCGCCCTCGGGCAGTAAAACTCTAGCATGACACCCAACACTGCCATTTACTCACTCCGTTCTAAAATAGATGACCCAAATTTATATATAAAGTTTTGGAACTACTTTATATATAAAGTTGGGTCATCTATTTTGGAACGGAGGGAGTAGATATTTGCGGGATCCTCTGCATGTGGCTACATCGCGATCTTGGCGATGGTGTGGATGGTCACTGTCAAGATAAGTTGTGGTAACCATCTTCCATGGAAAGCATAAGTTGTCCCCATCATTCGCGGCCACCAGCTCCTTGGCTATGTTGATGGATTGTTCCCTGCACTAGCAAAGATCGTACGTGAATCAGACGCAAATGGAGCTCCAATGGTGGCCAGCTCCGCCTACATGATGTAGCGCACACATAGGTAGGACCAACTAGTACGTCTTGAGTTGTTTTGGTCCAAAAGACGTGTTTTTCTCAAGTACAATCCAATCCAATTCACGATGCATACGTCCAACGAAAATGTCCTCTAGTCGGTCGTCTGTTTGATGCACCAGAAAACCATACCATCATCCCATCTATTTTCACACTAAACACCACCAAGGAAGGACAATGAGTGACACGCACGGCGACACAGTTAACCACCGATTAGTAAAAGAGTGGAACTTTAGCCTAGTTAATTATTGGTTGGTCGCAACGCAAGTGACATGAACAAAATGGTTGGATTTTCTTCATAAACGTTCGTAATGATTGTATTTTTAACAGAACGGAAACTCCTATTTTTTTTTGAAGGTTATCTTCAAGGTCATAAGCATAGGTATGTGATCGTTACATCCCGGGGAGGAGGAAACGACGGGAGATGGTCAGTCAAAACTTATTCAACCGACTTGGTTGATGGCTTCGTAGTAGGAATTGTGATGCACCGGGCTCATTTTTCTATTTTTCTTTGCCCTTTGGGTAGCCATATGTTGCATTATATTTTTTGAACTCTACAGGACTGAGCTCGGGTAATGAACTTTGTAATAATAATTAATTAATAGTATGTCATGTGCATCACTCAATGCAATGGCCAAGGACGTTCTCCTGTTTTTTTCTTTTGAAATAAGAAAACATGAAAACACTTCACCTACACTTTTTTTAAAAGCATCAGATCTATTATTAAGGTTCATGGGGAATACAAATCACCTCAAACATAATAAAAATTACATCGAGCTTCATGGACCACCAAACGATCATTGCCGCCGCCAGAACGAGCCACCGACGCGCTGCTGTCATCGTTTTCATACCAGAGCCAGTCTGACCTTATCGATTACAGCCGGGAAGTCTTCATGCACGTGCCCCTAAGGACCAGCGCCCCGAGCCGCAGTCATCGCCTTTGAATCCTTGAATCAATCTGAAGAACATGGCACCAAGTTTCGTCGTTGCGTACGCACGACGAGAAAGCCTAACATCACCGTCCCAAGGAGTTGGCAGGAATCTACGCCAGAGCTCCGTCTAATCCGTCTGAACAGACGAACTTGAGGAGGACCGGAGCCCGAAAGACTAACTCGAAGAAGGAGCGCCACCATCCGTCCAAATGTCGCCCCTGTGAGGACTAAAATCCTACTTATCTACTAGCAAGAGCCAAGACCAGTGGCGGACCCAGGAAAAAAATGGAGGGTGTGCACACTTCAAGAAAAATCTGCATAATCTAAGTGTCATATCATGTATGGCAAAAGAATAACACAAATAGCTCAATCAAGTCTCACAATATCATGTTTCAGAAAATAATTTCAGATTTGCGAAATTACAATACAAATAGTCTTACATGAAAGGTACACAGAATAACTTCGGTTTGCCCTTCAGCTGCAAACTTCTTTATTTGACCTCATGTTTTCAACAAAATGGAGATAATACTCCCAATCCTCTTTGTCTTAAGTTATGCAAGTACAACAAAACAAGAAGTAAGAGTCCTTCAATTACAACAAAACGGTAACGATTGTTTTGTTCAACTGATAAATAGTTTTTATGTCTTTAAACGAACAAGAATGTGGGCTTAAATGGGCTGCAATGTCCTATCTCCACAGCGGGCGGCTGATGCGGGTGATCCATGCATCCAGCTGGTCAATGGAAAGCGTTTCCAGGCGAACGACCGATGGAGGAAGGAAGGGAAGGACCGGGGCGACAAGGCGAGCGGCCGAGCGGAGGGAAGCACGGGGAGAGGCGATGTCCGAAATGCAGACAAGTGTTGAAAATAGCTTTTTCCCCTCTCGCAAGGCAATTAGAGAAAGCCTTCCTCCCCTCGATCTTCACTAGCGAGTCCGTGGATTCGCCTTCTCTCCACCTACCGCTCCGGCAGCCAGTGACGGGGAGGGGATTTCTGGTGTGTCTTATCCGGCTAGTAGATAGGTAGGATTTTAGTCCTCGCATGGGCGGCGTTCAGACGGATGACGACACTTCGAGTCAGTCTTCCGGGCTCTTATTCTCCTCAAGTTCGTTCGTTGGGATGGATTAGACGGAGCTCTGGCGTAGATTCCTGCCAGCTCCTCGGGGCGACGAAGTTAGGGTTTCTCGTCATGCGCACGGAATGGCGATATTTGGTGTCAGGTTCTTCAGATTTATTTAAGGATTCAACGACGACGACTTCGGCTCCGAGGCATTGGTCCTCATGGGTGACTTCCTGGCACGTGCACGAAGACTTTCCGGTTGTCATCGACAAGGTCAGGCTGGCTCCTGTAGGGGAGCGACAACAGCGGCGCGTCGGCGGCACTGGTCGTTCGGTGGTCCATGGGCCTCGATGTAATTTTTATTATGCTTGAGGTGTTTTGTACTTCTAGTGAATATTTATAGTTGATTTGATCCTTTTCGCAAAAAGAAAAACGTTGAAAATATCACGTGATAGAAGTTGTCTCAAAAAATAACGT